TAATCAAGTATAGTTTGTATTTAAAAAAATACAACTTTGTGTTGTATCTCAAAAATCATCAAATATTTTTAAAATTTTTCAACGGCAGTATATTCTACTTAAATAAGTGTCTTAAGAACGTATCAACCTCATTTCTCTAATTTCAAAAATAAACGAAATATGAGCATTTTTTGAAATCACGAAAATTTGACTTTTTGGCTATAACTTAAAAACAAAAGAAGATAGAGGTTTGGTATTTGCGGGATTGGGTTAGTCTCGAAAAAGAAACCGGGACATGGCACCTACTTTTTTCGTATCTCTTATAGTTTCTGAGATAGCCTATAATAACACCCAAATTTGCCCACCCTGTACATCCGCAATTTATATACATCATTGATTAAATCTGCTTTTGCAAACAGTTTATTTTTACTATTATAGATTTTGCAACCATTCTCATCAAACTTTACTTTATTACCATTTTTTATCAATTGGCTTACAGAAAGTAAATTTGTTGTTAGTCCTGGTACGGATTTTACATCTTTTATCGTTAAGTTATAAATACCACCCCCACTACAGTCATAACTTTTACACTCTACAGAATGTCTTTGGTTTTCAGCAATTACTATATCATGCATACCATCATCTGTGGAGATATCCTTTAACCAGTTCTTTTTTACTGTTAGATGTATGCTAGCTCCTGAATCCACATACCAATCACTGTCCGTAAATTTTCCATTTACAAATGTAGCACTGTTCTTTTGTTTTCCATATTAGGACATTTGTTTTTATAATGGCCCATCAGCTTGCATCGGAAACATTTTATATCCTTCAAGTCCTTAACATTATTACTTCATCCTAGATGTTTTCTTCCTGCATTCCATTGTTTCTTTGTCACACCAGCAAAAGCTGTATTTGCTTCCTTTGCTGTTGGTTCCATGTCCAATAACTTTGTTTCTATTGAATCTCCAGTTATAGCTGTACCTGAATGTTCAATTGCCATAGTCATTGGCCCATATTTCTCCGGTAATCCAGCTAATAACAATGATCCAACCCACTCTTCATCTACCTTAAAAGCAGTACCTCTTAACTTTTGAGCTGTCTCACAGCTTTCCAATTGTGTGTTTATCAAGTTTCGAAGTAAAATGTTTTTTCTTGAGAATCCTGAGTCATCAAACAAAGCTTTCAACTTGTCATAAAATTTCTTCGCCGTATTCGCTTCCTTAATATGTAAGTACATAGAGTGATCCATCAATGGATAAAATGAGCTTAGTTTGTGCTTTTTTCTTCGTCAGTTTCTGTACCTAATATGCATTTATCCAGTCCATCCAATATTAAAAATTTTGTATGGCGAATGTCCATTCGTCGTAGTTTATTCTACCTTTTAATTTTGGCACGTTACTAAAAAAATTCACGGCAGCCATTCCTGTTCTAACTTCTTTCGTTTTTTCAGTTATTTGTTTATCCATAAACACCCACTAGTTACGTTCTGGGCCCATAACCTGTTAGTCTGGGATTCTTTTATGGTCCTCAAATGAAACTACTGTTTCACTGAACTGTTTTGTTTAAAAGATTTTATTACGACTTGTTTTATAAAACATACAACGATACGTTTTTACCAAGTTGGCCAGTATTTTTGTTTCGTCTTGTGTCTAACTTAACAGTGTAATAATTTCTCCTTTCTACCGTTAGATGTCGCTTATCTCGCTATCATTAACAACATATCTCACCTACTCTAGCTCTTTTTATCTATTTCTCTCAGTGCCAATACTTCCCTTTTACATCTTTTGTACACTTCTCTGCGTGATTACCGATGACTCAACACTGCTATAAAGCACTATGGTGATCTTGTTATCTTCCTATTTGTGTATATTAAAATTTTTTAAAACTTGGCAAGCAGACCATCGAATTCAACGTGGTGTTCTTTGTTCGTTGCGAACTTGCTTATTTGCTCAATCTTCTCCACACACTTCTTTCCACTAAAATCAACGTTGCAAGCGCCATTAATTGGATCTGGACACAACGGCTCACGTCATTATATTTAGAACTCTTAAGATAACTTATTTTCATTTTTAACGTTTTTACGTGTGTTATCTAAAAAGCTCTGCTTAAAAACCAACTGATAATTCTGTAAAACAACGGTTTTAAAACTGACTTCAATATAATTTGCTTAACAACAACACTGATTGTGGGTTTGTTGTGTATATTAATTGTTGAAAACTTTTTTAAACAAAGTATTGCTTAACCAGTATGAAATGAAACATACTGGTCGTCGCATTGTAACGCTAAATACTTTCTTTATCAAATCTGCACAAAAATCCTTGGTTTATTAAAAAACCAAGACTAGAAATATAATCTGCTATGCAAGGATGGTGTTTAAGATAGTCCTTTTTGTGCTTTAGAGCTTAAAATTATGGATGCTTTTGCATCTAGGCTTAATTTAACACAAATTAATTATTAAAAAAGGTCAATTGCAATAAATATTTATAAACTACTACATTTTAGCTCTAATTTAACTTAATAATTACTATTTCACATTCATAAAAAACCTAAAGTAATTATTTGCGTTACCAACTACTTTTAATTTAATCAAAATGAAAAATCCAATTTCAAAATACATTATATTATCTGTAAAAAGGTTTTTTTTACTTACTTTAAAAAAAATCTTTTACTTTTTATTCCTCACATCATTCCGTCACTCACTCACTAAGTTAATACTAACGTTTCGATANCGAAAATTTGACTTTTTGGCTATAACTTAAAAACAAAAGAAGATAGAGGTTTGGTGTTTGCGGGATTGGGTTAGTCTCGAAAAAAGAAATCGAGACATGGCACCTACTTTTTTCGTATCTCTTATAGTTTCTGAGATAGCCTATAATAACACCCAAATTTGCCCACCCTGTACAAAGAGAGCTGCAGGGAAAATAATGAAGTTGCAATGAGTCAAAATTCCTTAACAAAAATGATGAAAAGAATGAACATTAGTCTCTATCAACCAAAAAAAGACAAGTGTGACATTTGCTGCCAATACGAGGAGAAGAATTTATCAGTTGAAGAATGGGAAAAGCATTGCGAAGAGAAGGAAAGAGCGAGAGAAGAGAAAGCAAAAGACAGAGAGCAAGGTATTTTGGGTAGACATCATGTGATTACGATGGATCTGCAGGCAGTAAAAGTTTGTCCTTCATTGAATGCCAGTTCTGTTTATTTCAAAACTAAGTTATGTGTTCATAATTTTACAGTTTATAACATAGTTACTAGGCACTGCACCTGTTATTGGTTCGATGAGACGCAAGCCGACCTTCAATCTTCAACGTTTGTGTCATTTATCTTTGACTACATAAAAAGAATTCTTAATGATGGTAAACCTATCATAATTTATTCAGATGGGTGTACCTATCAAAATCGGAATAATATTATGTCAAACGCCCTTTTACGTCTATCAGAAGAACTGAATGTGACTATCGAACAAAAGTTTTTGGTTAAAGGATACACACAAATGGAGTGTGATAGCGTTCATGCCAACATTGAAAGGAAACTAAAGAACAGAAAAATCTTTTTGCCTAGCGACTACTTAAGAGTTTGTGAAGAAAGCAGAACATCTACTGAAAAATATGAAGCAAAACTAGTGAATCATAAGTTTTTCAGGAACTTCAAAAAAAAACCTCGTTTATTCTTCAATAAGACCCGGAAGGAAACCAGGAAACCCAACTGTTACAAATCAACGAGCTTTGAAATACTCGCAAACACTGTTTTTTTAAATTAAATTTTGATAGTGAGTATGAAGAGCTACCACAAAGAACAAGAAAAATTATTTCTTCCATTAACAATGAATATGAACAACTTCATAATCAAAGAATAAAAAAAACAAATATATTTGGTTTTTTTATTCTTTGATTATTTCAACTGTTGAAGGTGCTCATATATGAGCACCTTCAACAGTTGAAATCGGTTATACCTGAGGATTGTTGGTCATTTTATGACAATTTAACTTTTGAATGAGTTTTTTGTGTTTTATGAATTAATTTTGTATACAATTTATTTCCGGTGTTACATTTTTTTGATACACACTTACTTCAAGTTTTTGAATGTTAATGGAAATAAAATGCTGTTCAATAACCCGTAAGTCTATTTTTTGTATTTCAATAACACGTAAGTCTGATTTTTTTTGAGTTTTACAAGAGAAAAGGATTTTTAATTAAACGTTTTGTATCTAATACGATTTTTTATGATGTTCACCTCTTAATTTGTAAAATAAACATCGATCGTGTAACGTAAATCACAAAAAGAATGTTTTTTGTGATTTCCCAAAAGTTATCATTTTGGACTTACGTGTTATTGATTTGAGACCATCGATATTATAGAAATACAACTTCTTTCATTCCATTGTCAATCCTTCCGCAAATCTGGGAAAATAATTAAAAGTTTTTACTTTGTGGGTAAATGGCTTTCACTGGAGGGGCAAACCTCGCGACTGGGGGGGCAGTTGCCCACACATTTATACCTTAAAAAATGCCTATCTAAATCTATTGGGTTCATGTGATTGTTAATAAAAATAAATCTTTAACCTTGTTTATCTACTTTCTTTGTCTATTCTAATAAAATAGTGTTCAGTCAAAGTCATAGGGGCCCCATTATCCCAATATGCCCAAGGCCTCCAATAGGTTAAAGATGGCCCTGCTCATAGTGATTAGAGATCAAAGCAAGAGCAATGTCTAATGGTTGGTTAATAGTCTTCAGTAATTCTTACTTTACAGTTTTTACAACTTTTAAAAGTGTGATTGGTTGCGCATTTCTTAACTATTTACATATTTTAAACGACATAGAAAAATAAAGATACATATTGCAAGATACAATTAAGATTAAAGACACATCTATAACAATTTATTTTATTTTTTTCATGTCATTACAGCATAGCCATAAATTTATCTTCTTATCTCCATCATTTCTTTACCCACAGATACCGTTAAAAAATATTACAGTCACCCAAACGTACTAAAAACGCAACCATAAAGATATCTCGGTTGTTTACAGTAAATTTGGTCGATTGGTTTGACCTCGACTGTTAAGTTGAGTTGAGTTGAACTTCGTATCTACTGATTTTTTCACTTTTTACCGAGTTCTCGAGCTGTTTTTCGTTCGCATTCTCCGTTCGGTCTCGAAATAGACAACATGGCAACAAGAACTTTAGCGAAATTCATGTACGGAAAAGTTCAATCCAACATTATCCGTCCAAATATAGTTAATGGAGCGAAATTATTCAGCACTACGAACCCGGCCCTTGCTCAAGGTATTCAATTTATACATTAAGTTGTAATGTATAAAGATAAGACTTAATCTAAAAATAACCTGAACCCGGTTAAAAATAAATTGGGTTTTTGTACTAAGGAATTAAAGGTTACATATTCTAACTTCTTTCCTTGTGTTTTAGCAAACTATGAATTCATCAAAGTAGAAACAACGGGGGCTAACAAAAATGTAGGTTTGATTACATTGAATCGCCCCAAAGCTTTAAACGCTCTTTGCAATGGATTAATGACCGAAGTGGCTCAAGCTATTGATACACTTGAGAAGGATAAAAGCGTTGGTGCTATTGTTATAACTGGTAGTGAGAAAGCTTTTGCTGCAGGAGCTGATATTAAAGAGATGCAAAATAATACTTACGCACAATGTATTTCTGGGAATTTTTTGAGCCACTGGAATAGAGTTGCTGAAAGCACCAAACCTGTTATCGCCGCTGTTAATGGATATGCTGTAAGTTAAATAAAAAAAGAATTATTAAAAATAATTACAAAATAAAAAAAGTTAGGTTATGTCTCTTACAATTTAAGTGACATTTTTGACAGTTAACTTTTTTTTTTAATTTGAGTTAATTTTTATCATTTTAAATAAATTTTATAATTATTATTACATTTTTTTTTATAGTTAGGTGTGAATTAGCAATAATTTTTTTTTAAATTATATCCCACATATAGTTCATTTTTTTTCTATAATACTCAAATTTTTGTAAAGTTGGCAAAATTAACAGTGAATTTTGTTTTATCATGTTTTTGAAATAAATATGTCACGGTGACGTTTGAACTTTCGTTATTCAAAAAGAAAAGGTGTATAAAAAGTGTTGTGGGGTGTTTATTTGCCGTTTATTTCCCTAGAAAAGGTATTTTGTTCTATTTAAATACTTTATAGCACGTTTTTACAACAAATATCGTTAAAATCGTATTTATCTAAAAATGTATTAATATTTTAACCTCAACTATTTAATTACTGAAAATGATACTAAAAAACAGGAAAAAAAAAAATATTTTATAAGGATCCTAGATAATACCAACAGAAACCGAGTATTACGTATTGACGTGGTGTATGGGTGGTTGTCTATCTGCTCAGGTCTTGGAGTTCCAAGGATTCAAACATTAAATTTGTCCATATCATACTCCAGTAACAAGTTTTCTTTTATTCTCTTATGTAGATTGTGGGTAGATCAATTTTTAGCTTGATAAAAGTATAGGTCTATCGTCTGATGTGAAATGAAACACCTGTGAAGTATAGAAGTACAAAAATAACAAGAATAAGTATTCTAAAAATAACCCAGGTCCGTAACGGTATAAAGTTCGAATCCACTACAAAGTAAAATTAACATTAAAATGAGTGCAGAAAACACTCTCCCAACTACACTGGAAGAATGGAAACAAGCTTACTATGCTAGCCAAGAAGGGATAAAAGCTTAGAAAAACAAATAGAAAAATTAATAGCAAAGAAATTTATTTTTCTCCATAAAGTCTTCGACCTTTCCTGCAATTTGGAAACAGGCCTGCGTTGTTCCCATTCCTAAGATTAAGTGCCCTACTCGCCTAAGTGATTTTCGGCCAATATCGATACTTTCCGTATTATCTAAGGCACTTGAACGCTTGGTGTACAATCAAGTGCAGGATTACCTTGATGAGCATAAACTAATTACAGACTATCTGGTTTCCGACCAAGCCACAGTACCACATCAGCACTCATCAAGGTTACTGATGATATTAAGTTTTGCTGGACTTCAGCAAGGCATTTGATGCTGTGGATCATAGCCTACTGGTGTCGTCTCTGTCTGCTATGGGCTTTGCCCCTGAGTGCGTTACTTGGTTTAGATCATACCTTTCCCAACGTTCCTTTTGTGTGCGTGACACTTCATCTTCTTCTTCTGTGTTTCAAAGTCATAGTGGTGTGCCTCAAGGAAGTGTATTGGGTCCATTACTCTTTTCAATTTTTATAAACGGTGTTACCAAATTCATTTCATGCAATTATCACTTATTATCTTCAAATCTATATATCAACAACTGTGAATGAGCTCTCGGTGTCCATGGCGCGGCTTAATGACAATCTGTCCAGGATACTTCACTGGTGTAAATGTTTTGGCCTGAGTTTGAATATTGCCAAGACACAAGCTATAGCATTCGGTTCAAAACCTTTACTTGCAAAATTTTACTCTTTCAATGATGACAATGTTATACATTTCACCAATACGGTCAAAAACTTGGGGGTGACAATGGACTCAGCGCTGTCTTGGCGGTGTCAAATTCAGTCTGTCTGTAGGAAGGTCTATTTTTGTTTTCATTCCTTGCGTAAAGTTGGTTGTTTCCTTGCCAAGTCCGTCGTAGTCTTTGTTACTCATTAATACTGCCCCACATAGATTATGCTGATGCGGTGCAATTGCCCTCCGTAACAAATTGGAAAGATTGCAGAACAATTGCCTACGCCATCTTTCTGTATACTGACTACATTATATAAAATACTTTCTTCTCGGACCCCAGTATTTCGAACTTTCAATTCATGTCGTCTCGTGGTCTGCCTACTAGAGCACAGTCTGATACCTTACTCATATTTCGCATTTCATATTTCGAAATACGCAACACTCGGAGTTTTCCAACATTTAAGGTCTGCTTAAGGGATTGTCTATTAACACTGCAATTATCTGAATCTAACTCTTGATGTCACCTGCTTCTCTTCTCTTTTTTTTCTCCTCTCTATCAACTGTACTCGTTGTGTTTCTTTTTTTTTTTCCTTTTTCTCTGCTCTTTTTGTTCTTTTTGCTTAAATGTTGAATTATTTAATAATGCCATATTGATTATTTTTTTTTTCACATACATTGCTGATTGGGTCTTTTGGACTTCATCGCTCTTGGCGATAAACTGACCTTTTGTCAACATACACTATAAGCTATGTGGCAATAAACTTATTATTATTATTATTAAAATAGAAGAAATCAAAGAAAACTTGCTGCCACAAGGATTTAAAGTAGTCAATGTCGTCAATAAAATCAGAAAAGGTAATAATCAAAGACCAACAAAGACAATTTTTTCAAGTTTTGCAAAATTTCGCCGATTAAGTTTTAAAAATTCGTATAAAATCCAGTTCTTGAAATATGAGCACGAAAATTTCCCAAAGTATTAATAAAAGTGCCTTCTTTCCAATGAACCAACTCGTTTTGAAAAATAACTTTTAGTTTTTGAGAAAACAATATTTGAAGTTTTGATAAAATTTTCGATGTTGTAATTTTCATCTATAACATTCAAAATTCACTATAAAATTAATTTCTTGAAGGATCCTTCTGGAAATATCACCAATTATTAATTATAGTATCCTCTTTTTAATGCAATAAGCCGTTTTGAAAATCACTTTTAGTTCTTGAGAAATAAATTTTTAAATTAATCGACAATTTATTCGAATTTTGCAATTTTCGCCGATTAAGTTTTAAAAATTTTTATAAAATCCAGTTCTTGGAATATGATTATGAAAATTTCCCAAAATGTTAATAAAAGTGTCCTCTTTCCAATGAACCAACACGTTTTTAAAAATAACTTTCAGTTTTTGAGAAAACAATATTTACAGTTTTGATAAAATTTTCGATGTTGTAATTTTCATCGATAATTTTTAAAATTCGCTATAAAATTAATTTCTCGAAGGATCTTTGTGGAAATATCACCAATTATTAATTAAAGTATCCTCTTTTTAATGCAAAAAGCCGTTTTGATAAATTACTTTTAGTTCTTGAGAAATAAATTTTTAAATTAATCGACAATTTTTTCGAATTTTGCAATTTTCGCCAATTAAATTTTAATAATTCGTATAAAATAGATTTTTTGGAATATGAGTATGAAAATTTCCCAAAGTGTTAATAAAAGTGTCTTCTTTCCAATGAACCAACCCATTTTGCAAAATACCTTTTAGTTTTTGAGAAAACAATATTTGAAGTTTTAATAAAATTTTCGATGTTGAATTTTCATCGATAATTTTAAAAATTCGCTATAAAATTTATTTCATAAAGGATCCTTGTGGAAATATCACCAATTATTAATTAAAGTATCCTCTTTTTAATGCAACAAGCCGTTTTGAAAAATTACCTTCAGTTTTTGAGAAATAAATTTTTGAAATGACCGACAACTTCGAATCTTACAATTTTCGTCAATTAAGTTTTAAAAATTCGTATAAAATCCAGTTCTTGGAATATGATTATGAAAATTTCCCAAAATGTTAATAAAAGTGTCCTCTTTCCAATGAACCAACACGTTTTGAAAAATAATTTTCAGTTTTTGAGAAAACAATATTTAAAGTTTTGATAAAATTTTCGATGTTGCAATTTTAATCGATAATTTTCAAAATTCGCTATAAAATTAATTTCTTGAAGGATCCTTTTGTATCTTGGATCCAAATAAGTTGACATATCTTATCAACTTTCTTATTAATTTCATTTTTACTCAAGTATCGCAATAATGCGGCAATATATCATAATGTCCGGATAGATATGCCGGATACCCGGCCGAAGAGGATGCCGAATATCCGGTATCCGGGTTTTCGCAAAAGCACTATCCGTTCCACCACTAGCTTCCACAATACAGAAGATATAAAGAAATTATTTGCTATTAGACAAATACTAAATGCTGTGGTACAGATAGGACCGCTGAGATGCAATAATTTAATTCCACAATGTCGTAGATCAGTAGTCAGTTGTACTGCTAAACATCTTACTATTAAATGCAAAAAATCTAAAACTGAAAAACCAAAATGCAGTAACTGTTCAGAAGAACATCCAGCTAGCTATAGAGTTGTTGCTAAAGAACTGCAAAAAAAAAGAAATATTCTTATTAAATAAAATACAAAAGAACCTAGACAACTCACTTCCAATATTGTTAGTAAAGACTCGAAAAACTAGAAAATATTTACACTATTCTCACTATTCTGCAAAGCTACGAGATGTTAGGATAGCCACCTGGAATGCTAATGGTGTTCTAACGAATAAAGAAACAAATGCAGCTTTCTTATCATTACAGAAGATTGATATGTTACTCATTACAGAAACACATTTAATAAAACAACAAACTATTAACATAAGATTTTTCAAAACATACCACGTCAACCACCCCAGCAATCAAGCAAGAGGTGGAAGCGCAATAATTATAAGAAAAAATATCGAACACCACGAAGAAGTCCCCCTGCAAAAGGAGAAAATACAGATGTGTGTAGTTGGTGTGAAAATCAAATGATGTCCTTATACAACGTGCTCAAAATGAGTGGCTCTCCATCCCACTTCGTCAAAGCAAGAGACCTCATAAGATTACATGCTCTTGCTGTTTCGTTTACATGCATCTTCTAGCTGAGTTTTGAGTTAAGGTGGAATTCTAGATTTTTAATATTCTAGGAGTACCGTATTTCCTGTTGGTCATACTGAAGGCTGGGACGATCTACGTTTGTTCTTCTCCTAAAAAGCATAGCATTTGTTTTTGTGAGCGATATATCAAGTTGTCGGTATTCTAAAAAAGATCGCAGTGTTTCCACTGCACTGTTCATTGCCCATGCTGCATCATTCACTTCATCAAAAACTGAATAGATTACTAAATCTAAATTTAAATTTGTTCATTTAAAGCTGACATATTAAAGAGCCTGGCTCTGAGAGAGCTTCCCTGTGGTAATCCTCTGAAGTCTGTTCTTTGACCAATATTATTATAAACTGAATAAACTAAATATTATAATTTTGGTCAAAGCTGCAATATGAACATTATCGTAAGCCATCTTATCAGAGCTTGCTATAAGAAAACTTTTATAACAAAAATTGTTGCAAATGTTATTGTAAAAAATATTGCTCTCTTGCACTTTTGCTCTTAGATACGTCAATATCGAGATAGATACGAAAATATGAAAATTTTATGAATTTGTTGCTTTTTCAAGTTATTAAAGGTGACACTTGGGAATCGGAGCATGCTATATGAAAACTTTTATAACAAAAATTGTTGCAAATTTTGTTGTAAACAATATTGCTCTTTTGCACTTTTGTTCATAGATACGCCAATATCGAGATAGATACGAAAATATGAAAATTTGATGAATTTGTTGCTCTTTCAAGCTATTAAAGGTAACACTTGAGAATGGAAGCTTGCTATCAGAAAACTTTTATTACAACAATTGTTGCAAATTTTATTGTTAACAATATTGCTCTCTTGCACTTTTGCTCTTAGATGCGTCAATATCGAGATAGATACAAAAATATGAAAATTTGATGAATTTATTTCTTGTTCAAGTTATTAAAGGTAACACTTGGGAATCGGAGCATGCTATAGGAAATCTTTTATAACAAAAATTGTTGCAAATTTTATTGTTAACAATATTGCTCTCTTGCACTTTTGCTCTTAGATACGTCAATATCGAGATAGATACGAAAATATGAAAATTTTATGAATTTGTTGCTCTTTCAAGTTATTAAAGGTAACACTTGAGAATCGGAGCTTGCTATAAGAAAACTTTTATAACAAAAATTGTTGCAAATTTTATTGTTAACAATATTGCTCTCTTGCACTTTTGCTCTTAGATACGTCAATATCGAGATAGATACGAAAATATGAAAATTTTATGAATTTGTTGCTCTTTCAAGTTATTAAAGGTAACACTTGAGAATCGGAGCTTGCTATAAGAAAACTTTTATAACAAAAATTGTTGCAAATTTTATTGTTAACAATATTGCTCTCTTGCACTTTTGCTCTTAGATACGTCAATATCGAGATAGATACGAAAATATGAAAATTTTATGAATTTGTTGCTCTTTCAAGTTATTAAAGGTAACACTTGAGAATCGGAGCTTGCTATAAGAAAACTTTTATAACAAAAATTGTTGCAAATTTTATTGTTAACAATATTGCTCTCTTGCACTTTTGCTCTTAGATACGTCAATATCGAGATAGATACGAAAATATGAAAATTTTATGAATTTGTTGCTCTTTCAAGTTATTAAAGGTAACACTTGAGAATCGGAGCTTGCTATAAGAAAACTTTTATAACAAAAATTGTTGCAAATTTTATTGTTAACAATATTGCTCTCTTGCACTTTTGCTCTTAGATACGTCAATATCGAGATAGATACGAAAATATGAAAATTTTATGAATTTGTTGCTCTTTCAAGTTATTAAAGGTAACACTTGAGAATCGGAGCTTGCTATAAGAAAACTTTTATAACAAAAATTGTTGCAAATTTTATTGTTAACAATATTGCTCTCTTGCACTTTTGCTCTTAGACACATCAATATCGAGATAGATACGAGAATATGAAAATTTGATGAACTTCTTGCTTTTTCAAGTGATTAAAGGTAACACTTGGGAATCGGAGCATGCTATAGGAAATCTTTTATAACAAAAATTGTTGCAAATTTTATTGTTAACAATATTGCTCTCTTGCACTTTTGCTCTTAGATACGTCAATATCGAGATAGATACGAAAATATGAAAATTTTATGAGTTTGTTACTCTTTCAAGCTATTAAAGGTAACACTTGAGAATGGAAGCTTGCTATAAGAAAAATTTTATAATAAAAATTGTTGCAAATTTTATTGTTAACAATATTGCTCTCTTGCACTTTAGCTCTTAAATGCGTCAATATCGAGAAAAGTACGAAAATATGAAAATTTGATGAATTTGTTGTTTTTTCAAGTTATTAAAGGTAACACTTGAGAATCGGAGCTTGCTATAAGAAAACCTTTATAACAAAAATTGATGCCAATTTTATTGTTAACAATATTGCTCTCTTGCACTTTTGTTCTTAGATACGTCAATATTGAGATAGATACGAAAATATGAAAATTTTATGAATTTATTGCTCTTTCAAGTTATTAAAGGTAACAGTTGAGAATGAAAGCTTGCTATAAGAAAGCTTTTATCACAAAAATTGTTGCAAATTTTATTGTTAACAATAATGCTCTCTTGCACTTTTGCTCTTAGATGCGTCAATATCGAGATAGATACGAAAATTTGATGATTTAACAATTTGATTTTTTAAGTTATTAAAGCTAATACTCGGGAATCGCAGGGTGTTACAATAAAACTTTTAGGATAAAAGTTGTAGCAAATGTTATTATTAACAATATTGCTCTCTTGCACTTTTGCTCTTAGATGCGTCAATATCTATAATGAAAATAAAAATTTTTTTGCACTTAAACGATGATATTTATTATATAAAAATTTAGATTTCTACCGGTTTCGACTCTATGACAGTCATCTTCAGGAAACCGCGCCAACGAATACAAACATAAATCTGAAATGTTAACTGCATTCAAAGTTAATTAATAAGTTAGTTTAATAGTTTACTGTGAATGGTCTTTCAGATTTCACTTCAATGAGATCCCGTTTATGTTTGTAGTCGTTGACGTCGATTTCCTGAAGATGACTGTCATACAGTCGAAACCGGTAGAAATCTAAATTTTTATATAATAAATATCATCGTTTATTTTCATTAATATCTATTTTGACAATAGTATATTTTGAACCGTTTTCAAATTAGGCAGGGGGTTTACTTATGACGCGTACTGTATACACCAACGATCTGGCAACGTTGTTCGAGCGACATTGCCATATCGTTGGTGTATACTTTTATGCTATATAGCTAGGGTATTCCCTTAAGGTACAATTTTTGTTGCAATAGTATTGATTTTAAGTATTTTAAGATCTGAGATCTACCGATAAATCGGTAGGGTTGGCAACGCTGCTTACAATTTAAGTGACATTTAACCTAACTTTTTTTTAAATTTTAATTTAATGATTTTAAATAAATTTTATAATCATTACTAAATTTTGTTTATAGTTAGGAGGAGGTTGTGAATTAGCAATGATGTGCGATATAATTTACGCCGGTGAAAAAGCAAAATTCGGCCAACCGGAAATTTTAATTGGAACAATTCCCGGAGCCGGTGGCACCCAACGTTTACCAAGATACGTTGGAAAATCAAAAGCGATGGAAATCGTTTTAACCGGTGATCAAATCACCGCCCAAGACGCCGAAAAAATGGGATTAGTAAGCAAAATTTTCCCCGCGGATCAATTGGTGAACGAAGCCGTTAAATTGGGTGAAAAAATCTCGAAGAATTCACCTTTAATCGTTTCCATGTGTAAAGAATCCGTTAATACGGCGTATGAAACGACTCTCCGCGAAGGTTTACACTTTGAAAAGAGAACTTTCCATGGTACATTTGCCACTAAAGATCGTAAAGAAGGAATGACCGCTTTTGTTGAGAAGCGCCCACCTAAATTTATTGCTGAATAAATTAAAAACAATATAAAAATGTTTATTTTTTGTAATAATAAATTCATCATCATTTAGTTTAGTCTCAATTAGTTCTGATTTCTAAGCACCTAAAAACCTAATTGACCAAAACGATTTTTTTTTCTAATTTAACCCATCGATCCATCTCCATCCTTAATTTCATTAATATCTATTCTAAGCGATTTGAACGTTCCACATCAACAAGTCTTACTCGTTTTACTTTCTTCTCGGTTGTGGTCACTTTCCTCGGGCTTCTCACGAAGAAAATTTATTTAAACTAATAGATCCGTGGATAATCGAGATTTCCATACTTTTAGAGATCCATTTCAGTCGTGACTATCGCGCGATTTAGTCGCAAATATCAATTTTGTATCTAAATAACGGAAATGTGCGTGTTCGAGCTTTTACGTTACTATTTAACCAATGAACCGAAAATTAAAAAACAACGATTAATCACGGAATATAAAAATAAACAAATCGTTATGAGTAAAAAAAAAGAAATTGTGTTTTTACCAAATTTGGGATATTGTTATAATGGCAACGAACGTTGTGGATTTATTCAAAATTATCAAGAAAAGTAAGTTTTTAAATCTTTGACAGTTATTTGACGTTGATTAATAAGGGGTGCCAACTTTCGTTTAGGAATTTATTTATATATTTTAAGAATATATTTAAATAATTAATTTAAAGTTATTAATTAAATTATTTAGAATAAATTAAACTTTATTTTTTTATTTTGATGAAAATTATTTGATTTAAAATGATTTCGATTTCAACATTTTTTGACATTTGTCATTACAAACGTCAAATTTCAATTACTTTAATAAAAATTATCTATAACATTTTCACCTTGTTTTACTTCTTTATTTATGTAGAATTCTTTGGATATTTGTCCGTTTATAACTCGCCTTCCTTTCGCCTTGCTGTACAGGCTTTTAATTACTATTATTAGTTATTAGCTTCCCAGATACATACAGTGATACAATAAAGTCTACATAAGCCCGGAAAATGATAATATCTTAGCTCCCAAAATGTAGTTGAATGAAATTTTGCAACAAAACATGTAAGAAGTCCATATTATTTCCATATTTTACATAAAAACTACCTATATAAGTTATTATTAACTTGTCTAAATGTATAAGGACTAGTTTATAGCAAATTTAGGTTGCTCAGAATAACTAAAAACTGCACCAACATTATTCAAAATTGCTTTATAAGGTAGCAAAATGTTTCGAAATAGGTTCATAGCTATCTCGCATTATTCAAAATCATTGAAAATTGGTTGAGCATAATTTTATACTTGCCTAAATGATTAGCAACTAATTTTTAAACAATCCATGTTGCTCAAAATGGCTGAAAACTGGTTGATAGTCATTAAAACTTGTCTAAATGTATAAGGACTAGTTTATAACAAATTTAGGTTGCTCAGAATAACTAAAAACTGCACCAAAATTGTCCAAAATTGCTTTATAAGGTAGCAAAATGTTTCGAAATAGGTTCATAGCTATCTCGCATTATTCAAAATCATTGAAAATTGGTTGAGCATAATTTTATACTTGCCTAAATGATTAGCAACTAATTTTTAAACAATCCATGTTGCTCAAAATGACTGAAAACTAGTTGATAGGCATTAAAAACTTGTCTAAATGTATAAGGACTAGCTTATAGCAAATTTAGGTTGCTCAGAATAACTAAAAACTGCACCAACATTGTCCAAAATTGTTGTATAAGGTAGCAAAATGTTTCGAAATAGGTTCATAGCTATCTCATGTTATTCAAAATCATTGAAAACTGGTTGTGTATAATTTTATACTTGTCTAACTCATTAAAAACTAGTATTTAAACAATCCAGGTTGCTCAAAATGACTAAAAATCGGTCATTAAAAACTTGTCTGAAAACGTACGGCTAAACCCGAATGTTTCTAATTCTAGGGCTAGTGTTAGTTCAATTTTTTTTTACTGGCACTATCACTAGAACTAACACAAGACCTAGAACTAGAATAATTCGGATTTAGCCGTCTTGAGAATTGTGCGGCTAAATCTGAATGTTTCTAGTTCTAGATCTAGTGTTAGTTCTAGTTTTGCACTATCAAGCTTATTTCGAACCCATTTTGAAAAAGAATCTTTAGAATTTTTATCTCAAAATCAATGTGAACTCTTTGAAATATCTTAGTCGTTTTTGACCAATTTATTTCCAATTTAGGACTTCTTGCTCTCCTCATTGGCATACCGGAATCTGGACACCAATCTCTTCCCTTCATCATCCCCCTCCATCAGCAAATACTTTGGCAGTTCCTCTGCCACTATCTCCCTATACCTTTCATTGTATCTCCTTTCTCGTATCTGTGACCTTCTTTCCTGCCTCTGTCTGTCCCTCTCCTTATCTCTCAGTTCTCTTCACATTTTACCTCTTTCCGCTCTTTTGTTTTCGATCCCACTCTTCTATAATATTCTTCCCTGTCTTTTTGCCCATAGATCAGCCTCCTCTCCTTAATTTCCCTCCAGCACTCTCCCAGAATCCTACAATGCGGTCTTGCTTCTATCATTTCCTCCATTTTCATGCCAGGATATTGTTCATGCAGCATTTTTAATATCCCTGAACGAAGTTTTTCTGGAATAATGACTCTTCTGCCCCAAAGCAGCAATTCTCAAGGCAATTTCAGACTGTTGAAAAAATATGGTTTTCAAAACTAAAAGCTATTTTTCAAAACGTGTTTGCTTATTGGAAAGAGGACACTTTTATTAACACTTTGGGAAATTTTCATACTGATATTCCCAGAAGTGCATTTTATACGAATTTTTAAAATTTAGTCGGCGAAAATGGCAAAATTCGAAAAAATTGTTAATTATTTCAAAAATTTTTTTTTCAAAAACTAAAGTGATTTTTTAAAACGGGTTGGATCAACAACAAATTGGAAAGAGGACGCTATTATTAACACTTTGGGAAATTTTCATACTCATATTCCAAGAACTGGATTTTATACGAATTTTTAAAATTTAATTGACGAAAATTGCAAAATTCGAAAAAATTGTCGATCATTTCAAAAATTTATTTCTCAAAAACTAAAAGCGATTTTTCAAAACAGCTTGTTGCATTAAAAAGAGGATACTTTAATTGATAATTGGTGATATTTCCACAACGATCCTTCAAGAAATTAATTTTATAGCGAATTTTGAAAATTATTGATGAAAATTACAACATTGAAAATTTTGTTAAAACTTCAAAAATTGTTTTCTCAAAAACTAAAAGCTATTTTTCAAAACGGGTTGGTTCGTTGGAAAGAGGGCACTTTTATTAACACTTTGGGAAATTTTTATACTCATATTCCAAGAAATGGATTTTATACGAATTTTTAAAATTTAGTCGGCGAAAATTGCAAAATTCGAAGAAATTGTCGATCATTGCAAAATTTTATTTCTCAAAAACTAAAAGCGATTTTTCAAAACGGATTTTTGCATTAAAAAGAGGATACTTTAATTGATAATTGGTGATATTTCCACAACGATCCTTCAAGAAATTAATTTTATAGCGAATTTTGAAAATTATCGATGAAAATTGCAACATCGAAAATTTTATCAAAACTTCAAATATTGTTTTCTCAAAAACTAAAAGTTATTTTTCAAAACGGGTTGGTTCATTGGAAAGAGGACACTTTTATTAACACTTT